TGACCCCCCAGGCCTTGTGCCCGTTTTGTGCCGCTCTGCCCGTGGCTGAAAAGATCCGCCGGGTCGAGTACTTCACCCCCGCCGCTGACAAGGAATTTCCGGTGGCTAACACGTACTCGCTGGACAAGGCCTTACAGTTCTTCAACGTCGGCCGACTGGACGATGTCATCGACAGCGAGGAGTACGGCGATGCTGGCTGCCATAGCCCTTCTTCCCTCCTGGACAACACGGAGGTCGACGAGCCTCGCTCAGCGGGTCCTTCTGCTCCAGTGCCTTCTCGCTCCTCCCTGCCAGCAGTTAGAGCACTGCTCCAGGAGCTACCTGCCATCATCTCCGCGGCTGCGGTCCGCAAGGGGCTAGCCGTGCCAGAATCGGCTCTGCCTTATGCAGATGATTTGGCGGGAATTTTCGGGGCAACACAAACGCGCTGTCCAGTCCCCATCTGGCCGCGCTTCCCCGCTGCCATGAGCTGCTGGTCCACCGCCTTCTCTGAACCTGCTAAGCTCAAGGTGCCAATTTCCACATATGCGCCCATTACCAAGGTCGAGTGCTTCTCCGACCGGGGCTGGCCATCCGTTCCTCCACTGGAGCCAGACTTGGCCTCGCTGTTTGGCGCCAAGAACCACATCACTGGCCCGCGAGCAGTTCCCGCTTCTAAGCATGACCAGCTGCTGACGCGGCTCACCGATCGCGCACACCAGTGCGCCTTCCAGACCGGCGCTGCAGGAAATAACATCGCCCTTCTTGCCTTTGGCGTTTCCAAAATGGTGGAAGAGCTTGACGCTCCTGACGAGTCAAAAACCATCATTACTAAAACTGCTGATGCCATTCTCAATCTGTGCGCTGCTGTACTCACCAGTTCTGCTCGCATTGCTGCCTGGCAGACCCTTATCCAGCGGGCCTTGTGGCTCAAGGCCCTGCCCTCCATTCCTGAACACCTGAGATGCTGGAAGGCCCCATCACCTCTGACATTCTGTTTGGTCCCCATCTTAGGAGCGTCATCAAGAGGGCTCAGAAGACAGCTGTACTGTCAGCCACGGTGCGAGACCTGGTCCACCCTCGGTCCGCCTCTCACTCCGGCCGTTCCTCCAGAAGATGGGACGAACGGCGCAGAAACTTCAGATGCCCAGCTGCTCCGCCCGCCCCATGGAGCCGGCCTCCCGCTGAGGGGGAGCCGAAGCGGGACCAGACAGTTGGCAGCCAACGTTTTCGAAAGAGCCAGCAGACACCGTCTTGGCCGTTACAGTTGCAAGAACCTCGCCAAAAGCAACCACGAAAATGACTCGTTGGGGGGAATGTGTGTGCTTCTGACTGTAATGTTAACTCTGTGAATGATTTTGGTTTTGAAATAAAACCCCAAAAAACGTCACATTGAGAGCACAATCCTACAGTCCTCTCCAGAATCCTCTGCCGAATCCTCACTCATGTTTGCCACACCAAGCACTGTGAAACTTCTGCATGTTCCCGCGGTCCGTCATATTACACGGCAAGCTGTACGGGTGCTCTCCATTTGTGCACCGGCCCTAGCTTCCAGCCAGGCCCAACACATCCCGCTCCCCCCACAACGTAGGGTGGGACGGGATGTCATGGCGCTGTCGCGACCACACGCGGGCTTCTACTCCCGCTACTTCGTAGTACCGAAGAAGTCGGGAGGAATGAGACCAATTCTCGACCTTTCCCTGTTCAACTGCTCCATAGCAGTGATGCATTTCCGCATGTTAACAATGAGGCAAGTTCTAGAATACGTGCGCTCCAGGGACTGGTTCACGTCAATAGACCTGAAAGACGCATACTTCCACGTCCCAGTAATTCCCAAACACCGAAAGTTCCTGCGCTTTTCATTCAAGGGAGTTTAATACCAGTTCAATCGTCTCCCTTTTGGCTACTCGCTAGCCCTGCGCACCTTCTCCAAATGTCTGGAGACCGCTCTGCAGCCATTGCGCACGGCGGGAATGAGGGTTTTGTTTTACCTGGACGATCTGCTCCTATGCGCCCGGTCCAAGGACGAGGTGTCAGAGCAAACCAGGAAGTTAATAGAGCATCTGTCAACCCTGGGGTTTTCCATAAACTGGGAATAGAGCTCCATCCGTCCATCCCAGTCGATTATGTTTCTCGGGGTGGAGCTGAACGCCTCCCTAATGAGAGCATGTTTGTCTCCGGCGAGAGCGGCAGATCTCACCACAGTGATCTCCCGCGTGCAACCCCGCAAGATAGTGAGAGCCTTGTTAGTCATGAAACTTCTGGGCATGATGGCTGCAGCCCACGCTGTGGTGCCGTTAGGTTTACTGCACATGAGACGCCTACAGCGTTGGTTCATCTGCCTCCGGGTACACCCGATACGTCAGAAGAGACGTATGTTGAGGGTTTCCCCTTCAGTGGGCGGGGATCTCACTCACTGGGGGAATTCCTGCATCCTCTCACACGGGGTCCCCATCGGACGTCCTACGTCACACATATCTGTTTTTACGGATGTGTCACTGTTGGGATGGGGGGCACGTGCTTGTCCCATACGGTGGCAGATCGTTGGCCCTCCCACACGCACGAGCACATAAATGTGTTGGAGCTTATGACAGTGAGAAATGTGATCAGACACTTCGCTGCCCTTCTCTAGGGTCGTCATGTCGAAGTTCACACAGACAACCAGGTGGCGGCGGCCTACATAAATCGCCAAGGGGGAGTTCGATCCCTCCCACTATTGCGTGTCGCCACAGATTTACTGTGTTGGGCACATGTCCACCTGCTGTCCATCAAAGCCACCTACATTCTGGGGGTCCTGAATGTGGCAGCAGACATCCTGTCGAGAGGGGGACCCCGCGACTCCGACTGGCGTCTGCATCCCGCACTGATGTCACAGATATGGATCAAGTTCGGGGAACCCTCTGTGGATCTGTTCGCGGCTCGCGAAAACGCTCAGTGTCGCCTTTGGTTTTCCCTGAGTCCCCGGGACCACCCCCGCTCGGAGTGGACGCCTTCTCACACCAGCCCTGGCCTCAGACGCTCCTGTATGCATTTCCGACAGTCCCAATGATTCCCCGTCTCTTGGACCGAGTTCGGTCGGAACAGCTCTCTGTAATTCTGGTAGCTCCCAGACGCTTGTCCGCGTCATGGTTTCCGGACCTGCAAGCGCTAGTGTCCGGCTCCCCGTGGAGGCTCCCGTGGAGGGCGGACGCCCTTCTCCAGGCGGATGGGATAATCAAACATCCTCCAGAAATAGGCCAACGGCTGTGGGTCTGGCCGCTGAGCGGTCACGCTTAGAGGTTTCTGGGCTGCCGCATGATGCGGTCGCCACAATTCAGAGTGCGCGGGCGCCTTCTACCGTCACATCTTATGCTGCCAGATGGGCAGCTTTCCGAAAATGGTGAACAGAGCGGAATGTTCAAGCGCTCTCCTGCCAGCTGTCCTATCGTTTCTGCAGATGCTGATGAACAGGGGCCTCGCATTCAGCACTATTAAAACATATGCTGCAGCTATCTCATCCTGTCACCAAGGTTTTGGAGATAGATCTCTTTTCAATCATCCCCTCACAAAACGCTTTCTAAAAGGTGTCAGAAGGAACAGACCTGTGTCCCGCCCGCTATTTCCTCAGTGGGACCCAACGGTGGTTCTGCGCAGCTTATCTGAAGACCCATTTGAACCCTTGGACCAGGCCTCACTTAAATTCCTGTCACTCAAAACTGCCTTGCTGCTGGCGCTGGCATCGGTCAAGAGGGTGAGCGGCCTAACCGGCGTCTCAGTGGCTCCCTCATGCCTCAGGATCCGGGAAGATGGCGGGTCTGCTGTTTTATGCCCCAACCCAGTCTTTGTGCCCAAAAACATTAATACTTCCTTCAAATCCAGGTCAATTTCATTGGCTGGACTTTTTCCTCCTCCCCATAATTCTGATGATGAGGCGGCTTCCCACCGGTGCACCCCGTGCACGCGCTTGCACGATATGTGTCACGCACTTCAGGGATTCGCCGCTCACAAAGCCTGTTTGTGCACTACAGAGACTCTTCCCTTGGGCAAGCGCTGTCGGCCCAGCGTCTTTCACACTGTTTATGTGACGCTGTTTCACTCGCTTACACATCTTCAGGGTGGGATCCTCCTGAGACACTCAGAGCTCACTCAGCTAGAGGGATTTCCTCTTCTATGGCACTCCACAGTGGTGTGTCGATGGAAGACATTTGTCAGGCTGCTTCATGGGCTTCCCCATGTTCCTTTACTCGTTATTATTTACGAGATGTGTCTTCAGGTTCCATCACTTGTTCAGTGCTTGGACCTCAGCAGGCTGAGTGAAAGCATCCCATCAGCCCTACTTGAATGAATTTCGTCGTCTTGGGTGACATTTTAGTGGGAACCCCACTCTTCTCTCTGGCTACTTCAGCCTTTTAAGCCCTGGGCTGAGGCTGAGCGACCCTCGCTAAAAGGAGACATGTTGGGTGTGTCCATTTGGTTGAGCTAACCAGTGTGGCGTAAACCCATCCAGCTGCGCATTATTCCAATAGCAGCTAGCTTAAGGGCTAAGACTAGACGAAATAGAACGTTGGTTACGTATTGCAACCCCAGATTCCATGAGTCTAGTCGCAGCCCTTAAGCCAATGGCCCCACTGGTTCTGTTAGGATTAAGAGCCATCAGAGGTGAACAGTGGAGTCGCTCCACATATATACCCACAAGGGGTGCCCACCATTGGTGGGCGTACATTTAAGCTCTTCATGACTGGCTGATGCTGAGATCACCCTTCCAATAGCAGCTAGCTTAAGGGCTGTGACTAGACTCGGAATCTGGGGTTACAACACGTAACCAACGCTCTTTTTAATACTCCTTCCCACTTTCCAGCACTTTCCTCAGACAAATACAATATTTTTGTGGTTACTTGTAATCTTGTGTGTCGCACTTGCTGTATGAAACGCGCTTCATAAATAAAGTTTTAATTTAGCTGATTTTTTTAGCGCCTTTGATATTCTCGCGATACTTTGTGGCAATTGTTGAAGAATCTTAGATTATATGATACAACGGCCTGCCCTAATTGAGCAATCGAGGCCAGCGTCCTGCTCAGTGGCTAGCTGCTTGTGCGCTGCTGCTCGGTAGTTAGTTTTCCACCTAACGGCTATGATTGACAGAGTCAGCAGAGGTTTACACGGGCATGTCGGCACACTCGCTCGGTCCTTATCGGAGCAGAGAGACCAGCGGCATGGCGAGTAAAGGAGACGAGAGCTGTCGCCGCTCTCACACAACAACAAGAACGCCGTGTCTCGGAATTTTCAGGATGTTATTTATTGCTTTTATTCACACGACGTGGGCAAATAAACAAGGTACGTAACTTAGCTACGTCTGCGTTAGCCGCCGCTAACTTCCGTTGACATTTTTGTGAATTTGGGCAGAGGTTAGCGTTACCTCTGTGGGCTAACTTTATAGCCTGCTATCTTCCAGTAAATTGTGATTTTTCGGTCGTTTCTGTGAAGAAGGTTGTAGACGGGAGTGTGTTTGAATTTGTTAGGCCAACCGGTTCAGAATGAAAGAGCTGTGTTGTAAATATGGCCTTTAAGTTCTACAAAAGACGACGTTAGCTTGGTTACTGATTGTTGTCATGTTGCCGTATCTTCTGAGTTAGCTTAACCCGTGCCTCCGTAATAAACCGCTGGTCCCATGCTAGCTCCAGGGAGTCCCAGTGTGCGTCTAAATGATCTACATTCAGTGGAATGAAGTGATGTCACATCGACTTCATCACAGAGCACGACTTCCTCATACCTGGCCTGTAATGAAGGAAGTGTTTGAAATGGTTTTAGTTTGTAAACGTGGCTTTGGGTTCTGATTCTGACCCACGGCTGGGTTCAGATTGGTCCAGCAGGTCTGAAACGTGAAGATCTTCCGATCGCGTCAGGTCAGAGACGGGTGGAAATCTGGGATCCACGACCAGAATCAGCCCAGGGAACTTGACTTTGTTTGTAGGGCCTCCACAAACCCGAAACGCTCCCAAGACGCGGATCATTAAATAAAAGTAGTAGTCCATAGACAGGATGTGAACTTTGTCATTACTCAGATCAACACCCCAAACTCTGTAGTTTCAGCCTGGGCCAATGCTTGTTGTACTTTTTGGATAACTTGAAAGATTCTCACATAGTCAAGTAGTAGTAGTGGAAAATATCAGTACTTCCTGTTAGCTTTTATCAGGTAAACACACCCGACCAATAATAAACAGTCATCTGCCATGGAAAGTTTATAGTAGCTGATAAATTGTGTATCATGGAAGGGTAACATGCCACGAAATATGTGGACATTCATGAAACAAACTAATGAAAACAAAGGCTGTATCAGAAGGTGTAACTTCATCCTAAATGCTTGAATGAAATTCAGTTTGATAACGATTTTATTGTGAAGGATTTATCTTTTTTTCACAGCCTGACACCTTATAACACCCAGAAATAGATGTGCACTGTGAGCACATTGTTGGCAGTGGTAGATGAAATACGCACAAGCTGTGGCAGAAGCCAAAGGTCCACACTCAGTCAGCACAGATATCCAGCCTGAACCTTCTCTCATCTCTGCCTTTGAGAATGATATATTTTCTATAATGGCACTTTGTGACCCAGAAAGACACCCTGGCTGCAAGCAGAACTACAGAATAATCTGCTGCTGCCTTACTTTAATCTGCAGAGTTTATAATTAGTCTCTACCTTTTCTGATGGGCTCTGAAGTCAGTTTGCTTTGCAAATCAGTTCAAAATGTTCTGCTGTGGTAGTCCGGTCAGCGGCACGCAAATGTTCCCACAGTCAGTGATATATATATATTTTTTCTTTAATGCATCCTTTCCCCTCTCAGGCTGTGAATGTTATGTTCTGAGGATGTTTATGAGAACGACACTCATCAGGTTCTGTCTTGTTGCTCTTACAGCCTTCATCCAGTCAGACACAATTCTGGAGGTTTTACATTTTGGCGAGGGAAGCCTTTTACAGGTAAGACTCTTCATCCTCCTTGTTTATGTTGTTAAAACTGTTTTTAAAACTCATCTAATATGAATAAAGACACAATTGGAGGTTAGGAACAGACTTAATGCTTGTTTCTGTTGTTCCTGCAGACAGAGTCTGACGTCGACTTTAGTTTATATCATCAACAGAGGTAGGAAATGTCCTCTTCTCATTTTTTGACACAAAAAAGTGAGATGCTTGTGGGCGGGGGACTTTGTTAGAGCATCAAAGAACACACAGACTTTCTCAGGATTGTTTTCGTTTGTAATCTGTTGCAACAAAGTAAACATGGATGAGTTTAAGAATGGTTCCTGCAGCTTATCTCACATGCATCTAAGATTTGATGCCCCCAACATGGCCAAATAAAATAAATAAATAAATAAAACAGAACTTTTTTAGTTGGGCCATGACAAACGCGTCATTAACCACTATGAGTATGTTTACATGCAGCCAATATCCGGGTTATGATCGGGTTAAGGTCGGTGTTTGGGTTTCTGAGTTGATCAGAATAACCCGTTTACAAGCATAAATAGAAAGAGTTACCTCTAACGTGCATAACCCGATTTAAATGCGGACGTTGGGGTAGCGTCAGGACGTGTGGACTACGTCCAGACGCCATATGCGTCATTTCCGGTTCTTCTTGTTCCGGTATCCGTGAAAACAACATGTTTCCCAGTTCGGAAGAGATAGTGACCGCGTTTGTTTGTGCTTTAGTTTCCTCGTCACTCTAAAAGTGTGGTGCTGTACCGCGACTCGCCATGTTGCTCCCAACTTGTTGTTTACTTCCGGTATTCTGGCGCATACAAGACGTCTCGCTACTCAAAAGACCAAGATTCCTTGTGAACAGAGCATGCACAGAACACACGCTTTGATGGGGATATCCCGGTATGCGTTTACACGACCAAACATTCGGGTTGGAAAAGGGTTACCCCAGGTGTAGTAACCGGGTTTTTAAAAACCCGGTTATGAGCATATCCGGGTTTCTGGCGGTGTTTACATGGACCTGCGGAACCGGGTTATTGTGAATATTCGGGTTTTAAAAGGGTTACTGGCTGCATGTAAACACACTGTATGTCATGCAAACAAGCACAGAAAGAGAGGTTATATTGTTGAGGGTAACCAAAGGAAATGCATCCTCCAGCTTCAGAGCCCCCCTCCCGCCCTGTTGGCATCATATACACTTCAAACCGCTGTAGCCTGGAGCACATTCAGACGTGTGCTAAGTTTACTCAGTGACATGCTGTGAGTGTGTCACCAGTAGTTTGGTCGTAGCAGCTTCTAGCATGTGTGGCAGATAGATCTCATACATCAGTCGTTCTTCCACAGGAGTAAGTACACAATTACGAGTGATAAATGATAAATATCCCACACTTGTATAGTCCCTTTCAGAGTCGGAGGACTCTAAAGCGCTTTACACTACGGGATATCATTAATCCATTCACGCACTGACGGGGTGATTACAAAGCACTTTAAGGAAGAGTGGGTTTGCTTTCTGCTTACTCTTGCGTCACACAACTGTAGTCTTTAATTGTTTGCATTACAGTGACTTAATGCTCCAATACATCAGATGATTTATTTACCGCTGTGTGTGATTCGAGTGTGCAGTTAGCTGGAACAGCATGTCTGTCCAAGAGATAAGAAAGTGCTCTCTGTGGCAGGAGGCTTGTTAAAACTTGCCAACTTATGGCATCGTGTTTCTGTTCTGAGGTCTGCTGACCTTGCAGCCTCTCCGAGTCGTTCACACGTGAGTTTGGTTCAAATGCAGCAACCAGCCAGGCTTTTCTGTTTGCCCACAATGTTGAAATCTATTCAGATGTTATCTTTTGGGATCTTGGTGTGCCCTGGGGGTGGGTTTTATTTTTTTAAAAGATCACACTTCCTCCTTTTTTTAGTGTGTGTGTGTGTGTGTGTGTGTGTGTGTGTGTGTGTGTGTGTGTGTGTGTGTGTGTGTGTGTGTGTGTGTGTGTGTGTGTGTATGTGCATAGAGTTCTGCAATCTTGTTTAGAGCAAAGTTGTCATTTCTTCAGTAAACAAGATACTTTTGTTGTTGTACAGATATTTATTTATAAATGATTTTGATAGTGTTTACATTTAAAAAGTTATTTGAATCATTCCAAAATGTATTTCTGTGTAAAGACATTTTCCTATTTATACCTAGGCTAAGACGGCCCTAAAAACAATGTAATCGTCACAGAAAAATGAAATTGTGACAAAATTATTTGACAATCAGCTTTGCAAGCGTGGTTTGTTTTTTGTTTTGTTTCCAAAGGAAGAGCATTTCTGCTCCTTCTGAAGGGCAAAACATTGGATTAGGGCTGCAGCTATCGAATATTTTTGTAATCGAGTACTCTATCGAATCTTTTTTCGATTAATCGAGTACTCTAATAAATTACCCTTTTGTGTTTGTAAACCATTACATCAAATAGCATGTTATAATTATGAAAGACCTCTTAAAATGAGCAAGCAATTGCCAGTTATTCTTCAAGTTTTATTCAAAATTAGTTTGCAAAACTTCAGCACTTCAACTTTACTTCACAGTAAACAAATGCGTGTGCTAAAAATAAGTAAACAACCTGAGCCGATTTTCCCCTCGTGCGAGAATCTGCTAGCCTGCAAGCCAGACAGAAACTAGGAGGATAACTGTTGAAGTAGCGCTGCGAGCGGCTGCGGCCCAAACAGCACCAGAACCGCTCACGGCGCAAACAGCTCGCCGGCTCTTTCCCTATTAACACACGTCCGTTTTAATTTCTACACTTTTTTTCTCACACACTAACAAGGATTGTCGAAAGCATGTTTGCCGTGGTTTTGTCAAATTATACTGATCACAAAACATTTATTTACTTTCTTTCGTTTTCCTCCGCCACTCATAAATACCCGTGTCCTCCTGCAGCAATCCCGAGGGACAACGGACATCAATAACAACACAGTAAAAAGTCCGACGTGTTGTAAAAACTGCTATTTTTAGCACATTTTAAGTCCGACGTGTTGCTACCAGACGTACGGTGTGAGCTGAAACTGAGTGCTACAAATGAAAAAGTTGCACAGTGTCTGCAGAATATATAGAAATACAGGCCAAAATGCATTATCTTGTAGAAGCTCCGAGTCCGCTTGCAGAAGTGACATTTACATGTGGATGTTTCCTGGTCAGGTGCTGCAGCACGGAGGATGTGGTGTTGTGGTAGGCTAAATCCATTTTACAGTATTTACACTGGACTACGTTTTCCGCCTTACGACGTGAAAAATGGTCCCACACCTTTGACATTTTGTGTCTTTTTCGCACTCCGCTGGGGTCCACGTTGTCCGCCGTGGCCTAAAAGAAAGTTAAGTTGCGTTCACTACTCGCGTGTGCATTCAGTGCAGTGTGTATGTGCGTCACTCATTTCGGTCCGGGTGAAACATGACCCCGGGCGATTGCAAAGCCATGAATTAATTAAACATGAATTAAACGAATCCTCGAGGCAGAGAATTTGACTCGAGGATTTTTTGTACTTGAATTATTCGAGGTACTCAAGGAATCGTTTCAGCCCTACATTGGATATAATAATGTCTTTGACATTGTTCTCACCCTAAAAAGGCCTTATGCCTAATAGTATTAATAATCTGTCTGTAATCTGATAAAATTTAATTTGAATCAGCACTAAACAGAACAACTTTACCACCTGACATGAATTGGTAAGTTAGTTTTTCAGGTGAAATTATTTTTTAAATTATGGTGCCTCACTGCTAAGATTGACTGAATAGTGTTGTTGGCCTCAAGGGCAACCTGCTGGCTTCATTATCACTTGTAAGTCACGTTGGACAAAAGCGTCTGCTAAATACACAAACATCATACATACTGTTGTGTTACGCAATTCTTTCCATGGGTATGAACACGTGTTAATATCACCACCAGCAGGAAATGTTTCTGCCAGTGTCATTTGAAACCAATAGTTGAGTAAAAGTGTTTAAATTAAAGTAAATTAACCATGTAAATTTCAGAAAATCATTGTTGTTCAGGATGGAAGCCATTCACTTTGGTTTTTGCTGTATGAACGTGAACTAGCCATTAGCTTATCAGTCTGCTGGGTGTAAAAACTAGTTCTGCTAAAAATATACTGCTCAGAAAACTAACTTCAAAGTGGACAAACATGGTTTATTCAGCTGGAAGAACCAGTGACTTGTTGTGTTTACACACCAACATTCAGCAGAATGGCTGTGAAGTATTAAGTAAAAGGCAAAGTTGAATTTACATCCTGGATAAATTTCAGTTCTTTATCTCGTAAAAATGTTGTCGGCAGTTGTTATGCTATTCAGGCGGGCTGTAGGTGACGGATCATCCTGAGGGAAGAGTGAATGGTTGATGACAGAGCATCTCAGGGGATGGAAATCCATCCTGCTTGTGACGACGCTGGCTGCTGGAGCGCCATGCTGCAGCTTTTGTCTGTTCCTGTGTACAGGAAGGCTGTAGCAGTAAATGGGTGGAATCCATCTCCTGCTAATTGTTTGTCTCATGGCAGGCGAGTTATGTGTAATAACAAAGGTATAGGTAACTTTAGATTTTGTATATATATGTGTGTGTGTGTATAAATAAATAAATATATATATATGTGTGTGTGTGTGTGTGTGTGTGTGTGTGTGTGTGTGTGTGTGTGTGTGTGTGTGTGTGTGTGTGTGTGTGTGTGTATAATATGTATGTATATGTATGTGTGTATAATATGTATGTATATATGTATGTATGTGTATATTTATTTATATATATATATGTGTGTGTGTGTGTGTATATATATGTATGTATATGTGTGTGTGTATATAATATGTATGTATATATGTATGTATGTGTATATGTATATATATATATATGTATATATATACATATATATATATGTGCGTGTGTGTGTATTTATATATATATGTGTGTGTGTGTGTGTGTGTATTTATACCGTAAATCCTCTAATACAGGCCCGGGCCTGTATTTGACTCAAGCTCATCAAGCTCCAGGCCTTTATTGGAAGGAGGGCCAGTATTAGAGGCAGGCCTCTATTTCTATTTGAGCAAAATGAACTAATGGTTCGCTGGAGTTTTTGACAATTAAAATTGCGCCCACATTTTCAAAGTTAAACACATTTCTTTTAACAACGGTAGTTCCTGCTTCAGCCCTCTCCCCCCTCCCCC